TACTTTTTCACTAACGTCTACCAGGCCATCGGATTGATTATTCGGACCCTGAAGGAGACGGAGAAGGACGAGGATATATGCTGGCTACCCGTTTTAGAGCCTCTAGCGCACCTTTCTCTTTTCGCCCGACAGCGCCCCGCTTGTCCTTCGCCTCGCGTCGTACACCCGGTCCTTTAAGCGGCGCGTGTCTCCCGGCATTTGAAGTCGGCGTATGACGGCGGCCGGCACGTCGGCATGGACGACGTCGCGTACGACGAGGTTGAGGCCCTCAGGGTCACGGTCCGGGAGGAGGATCCGCGGTGGCGCAAGGTCTGTGTCGATGGCACCATTGTCGAGGTGCCCCTGGGTGGCAGCTTCGAGGTCAGGACCGTCGAGGGGGCACTGTTTGATGTTGTCGTCGATCCCTCGATCGCAGGCTCTCCTTGATGGCAGGCAGCTCGGTTCTCCGCCGTCACGGCACGAATGATGACTGTCAGGCGACGCATGTCAGGCGACGCATGCCAGGCGACGCATAGTACGTAGACCCAAGGCAGGTTGTGCTGGATCACACATTCTTATCAATCACTGAGATGCGAAACATCAAGTCGATCCTCGACCAGGGCTAGCCCCTCAGAAGCTTGGCCACCCTCTTCTCGACGCTCTCCTCAAACTCCGTCGTCCCCCTCTCCAGCTTGCTCAGCTTGCCGGCCCGTAGCTTGTACACCATGCGTCGCCGCGGCGCCGCCTCGTCCTCCGAGTCATCCTCCGCCTCATCGTCGCTGTCCTCTATCTGGCCCTCCACCGCCCCGCGCATGAACCACCGGTCGTGGCTCACGAGCACCACCGCCCCCTCCCAGTCACAGAGCGCCTCGCGCATGGCCGTGACCGTCTCGTAGTCCAGATGCGTCGTCACCTCGTCGAGGATGAGGCACTGCGGGCATTTCCAGAGGAGCCTGGCGAGCTCGCACCGCACGAGCTGCCCGCCCGAGAGCTTGGTCAGGGGCACGTCTGACGCCGTGCGACCTGGCAGCCCGAGCGATCCGAGCAGGCCGCGCAGTTCGCCTTCGTCGAGCTCGCCCTCCACCTCGCCGGTCAGCAGCGACAGAGCCGTCAACGACTCGTCGGCGCGGCCCATCGCCTGCAGCGCCTCGACCGCGTGCTGGGAGTAGTACCCCAGCTTCAGCCGTGGATGCCGCGTCACCGTGCCCGAGGTCGGCTTTGTCTCGTCGACGAGAAGCCTGATCAGAGTCGACTTGCCGGCGCCGTTGAGGCCCAGGATGCCGACGCGGTCCCCCATGTGCACCATCAGGCTGACGTCCTGCAGCACCGGCGGCGCGGGCGTCTTGGTCCTCACCTTTGTCGGGTAGCGGAACGTGGCATTCTCCACCGACAGCAGTGCGCCCGGGAACCGCAGGTCCGGCGGCTGCGGCATGATGAAGCTCACAGACCGCTCGTCCTGGGGCACGTCAATGTCCGCGCGCGCCGTGAGGTGGTATCCGACCAGGTCGCGATTCAGCTTGAAGCGACCGCCCTTGGCGCTGACCGTCAGGCCCATGCGGTTGTCGAGTTTCTTCTGCCGCGACTTGGCCTGGCGCAGCTTGTTCTGGTCGTCGTTCGCTCTGCCGGCTTTCATGTTATTCTGGATGCTCTGCTGGATATGGGCCTTCTGCTTGTTCTGCGCCTCCTGCATCTTGGTCAGGTAGAGCTTTTTCTCCGACAGGGACGATTCATAGGTGGGCAAATCTCCGTGGAAATAGGTCAGCTGCTTGTCCTTGACAATGAGCAAGTCGGTGCAGACGCTGATAAAGTCTCGGTCGTGGGAGACGAGAATCAGAGTCGGTGCCGCGTCATCGTCGTCGAGAGACTCGAGATATTTCTGTAGCCAAATGATTCCCAGCAAGTCCAAGTAGTTGGTCGGCTCGTCGAGAATCAAAATATCCGTCTCCTGCAGCAGAGCCGTAGCAAGGGCCGCTCGCATGCGCCACCCGCCCGACAGGCTCGCGACAGGCTTCGCCATGTACGCGTCGGTGAAGCCCAGACCAGTCAAGATCTTTTTGGCGTTAGACTCGATCTCAGCCATCCTTGTGGGCTCAACCTGCAGCTGCAGGTCTGCCATCATGTCGAGAGCCTCTTGCGTCTCGTCCCTCAAGATTTCAGGCGAGATGTCTTCCCCTGCTTGTTCGATCCTTGAAACGTGTCAATTTCGCAGAGTTCTGCTGCCAGGCCCATGCACTGAAGATTCTCACATGACTTTCGACTCGGCCGTCGTCTTCTCAAAGGCTGTCAGCGCCTTGCGCGCCGCCATGCCGCGGGCGCCACTCCGCAGCCGCGCATCCTTGTCGAGCTGGAAGAGGTGCTTCTGATTCCTCGCGTGGCGGATGGTGCGAAGCGCCCGCACGGAGCCCAGGGGGTCCGTGGCGTGGATGCCGGCCGACAGCGCCCGGATGTCCTGCTCGACGTCGGAGCGCGCCGTGGCCTTCTCAATGACGTCCTCGAGCACCGAGCCCGGCTCGCGAGATGGCGATTCGGCACTCGAAGCGGCCCCCGGCGGCGGGGCGTCCGTGTTGGTGCCACGGGCATCCGTCTGTTGCAAGATGGAGATGCGCGCCTCTTCGGGGATGCCGGGGATGAGCTTCTCGGCGATGGCTTTTAGGAGGGCTGGGCATCGTCAGCGAACTTGTCTCGAAGTAGAAGAGAAGAGTCTTCTCGTGAGAAATGCGTCTCTTGTGAGAAATGCGTCTCTCGTGAGAAATGCGTCTCTCGTGAGAAATGCGTCTCTCGTGAGAAGAGATGCGTCTCCGTGAGCAGAAGAGACGAAAGACTCACTTGATTTTCCGGAGCCGTTCCTGCCCACGAGGGCATACCGCTGGCCAGCCTTCAGTCTGAGCTTGGCATCAGACAGGAGCTCGAGGCCTTCGGCGCGCGCTTTCGCCTTTGCCTTGGAGGCGGCTGCCTTCTTCTTCGGCTCGCCCGATGCGGCTTCCGAGGCCGGGCCGGCGACGACGGTGATGCAGAGACCTTCAATGTCGAGCTGGGCGTGTCAGTCATGTTTCGGGGCTTGCAGGCCGGGCCAGCTTACTTCGCGGTAGTCGACCGTCTTGATGTCGAAGCGCGTCTGCTTGCTGGTGCACAATATGGTGGCCACGGATTCGGATGCGATTGAAGTCAACATGGTGCTGCTGCTGATGCGCCGCTGGGCGTTCAGGGTTGGAGGTACTACAGGGGTTGCTTGCTGTCGAATGAGCGTCGTCTTTTATCGGGGCCAGCCGATCTGGAGGTCAATTTAGTTGCGCAATGAGGGGATGCTGGCCATCGGGGCTTTTATCATCTCCTGGCTGCATGTCTATTGATGGATGGGCCGTTGGCATATTCATCTCGCCGAGTCAAGTTTTGGTTCTAGATGCTTGGGAGGTGTTGGTGTGCCGTCCGCATGTGGCAAGTGACGTCGGGCTGTGCCTTCTGAGATGGGAGCTAGTGGAGAGAGATGTACCGCGCCAAGGGACCTCTGGGGAAGGAGATCGCCCAGGGACTTGATTCCTCCTACCTGGCTTGCTGGGTACCCAAGGTACTGTACCTAGGTAGGTACCTGCTGTACCTAGGTAGGTACCTACTGTACTGTAGATAGACCCAGCAGAGACCAGCGCCCCGCCCTGAGCCCAATGGCGTCCAGTGAGTCGCGGCCGTCTCGCCAGTGACTCACGCCGGAATTAGGGGTCGACGACGCCTTCATGTGCCCCCCACATGTTGTCCACAGCATGAGGGGCACGACGCACGATCGGTCTCAGATGCTCCGTTCAACGACTCCAGGCCGAGGGGAACATGAAAAGACCACAACCTCACCCTCAAGCTGACTTTCAAGAAATGTTCTAGGTATCCGATGCTGACTCCCTAGCTTGATGACAAAGGAGGCTTTGGACCGGGATTCCAGAACATCCAAACGTAAAAGGACTAGGTACTTACTCAATGGCCCTCCTGGCTAGGTGCAAAACTCGCAAATCTCACAACCGCAGTTAAGATCACCAAAAAGATAGATGAGGGACACCCGATTTGAACGGATAACCTTCAGGACACTCCATGACTGGAATCTGACTATTGGGGCAATCAGAACGTGCCATGCACCACCACGTGAGGGCCTTCACTTACCGCGCTACCGTTGCGCCAGCCCCCCAACTCTGTACGCCCAGGGCGCACTGCCAGGATGATGAGCGAATTCCAACCATCGTGAAGGGGCAAAAGGATACAGAACATCCTGAACGGAACAGCAAAAGCAATGAGGCACACCCGATTCGAACGGATAACCTTCAGGAATCTCCAGAAGAACTGGAATCTGACGCGCTACCGTTGCGCCAGCGCCCCATTGATGGTGAAAAGGGCAAAACCCGGCCCCTCATATCCGTCGAAGCGGGGTGAATGAAGTGGGAACATAAAATCCAGGGTCGAAAGAACATACTGCAGAAAAGGCTGGTGGACAAAAAAGCATATCCCACCAAATGAGAGAGCCCCTCATTTTACAAGTAGATCAGCGTCAACCCATGCCTCGCTGTCACGTAGTAAGCCTACTACTTGCTGCAGAACCTTTCGGTGGGATGTTTTTTTTCCTTCGAGTGCTTATTAGCCTGCCAAAAGGGGAAAGAGCAAAAAAGATATCGCATTGAGGCACACCCGATTCGAACGGATAACCTTCAGGAATCTCCAGAAAGAACTGGAATCTGACGCGCTACCGTTGCGCCAGCGCCCCAATTGGATGATCAATGGCTCCCGTGGTGTGCATCATGTCGACAGATGCTACGAGAGCCACGATCATGGCAGACTTTGATGGGAGGTTTACATCGAAGAAATGGCACATTGAATGCTACAACAGACTGACAGCACACGTTTGAAAGGAATGTCGTATCCATGGTCAGAGCTTTGGTCGGCTGTCGCACTGGCCACGTCTTTATTCCTTTTCTTGGAAGCGTAGAGGCGCCGCCCTGGGCACTCTTCACTCTGATGCTCAATGTTCTCACAAGTGGTACTCAGCTACGTGAATCGACGAGACAACATCCCAAGACTTATTGGCTTAATCACAAGATTTGATCTGCCAAATGGGCGCTTTTCCAGTACTTTACTTTGAGGTTACAACAAATTCATCTCACGAAAACGTTGAGTGCATGTCAAGGTGCATCCGTCCCGTGTGTCAAAAGACCAAAGATAGGGGAGACCAGTCAACCTTGAAATGTATACAGGAATCTACATAATACATGATACAAGGACTCATCAGACTCCTATCAGCCGCACGCCAAAAAAACCGAAACCTAACAGACAAACCATTACCGCCCACCCTCTTCGACCACATGAGATCGCGGCGTCAACTTGCTGCTCTCGCAATCAGCAGAAACAGACCGCATCTGGCGCAGCACCCTGTCGCCACGCATCTGGGTAAACCCCTTCAGCACTCTGTACGCGGGCGAGCACCTAGGCGACGACTCATCCATCATCATCTCAATCTGCTCCAGCGACAAGTCCTTCATCTCGGGCACCAAAAAGTACGCAAACGCGAGAGAGAGGCAGCAGGTCGAGCCGAGAATGAAGAAGATCTTGGGCCCCAGGTTCGCCTCGCCCTTGTCCCCGCCGACGAGAAAGGGTGTGCACGTGGCGATGACGCAGTTCCAGAACCAGTTTGACGCCGTCGAGATGCCGATGCCGCGCGAGCGCATGGGCAGGGAGAACGACTCGCCGACCACCACCCAGGCCGTTGGCCCCCACGTGATGGCGAAGCAGAATATGTTCATGCAGATGAGGGCGATCATGGCCCTGACGGCGAAGAGGTTTTTTTGGTCGCGCCGTCCCTCCGTGATGCCGATGCATGCGATCATGAATTGGATGACGATCATGCCAATGGCGCCGTAGATGAGCAGAGGCCGCCGACCGAACCTGTCTATGGTGAAGAAGGAGATGGGCGTGGAACAGACGTTGACCAGCGTGAAGATGAGCGCGATGAGGAACGGATTGTCAACGGAGCCCAGTTGCTGAAAGAACGTTACGCCAAAGTAGAATATAAAGTTGATCCCCGTCAGCTGCTGCATCATTTGGATGGACATACCGAGTATCGTGCGGCGAATAGGACTGCTGCCGTTTCGTATAGGACCCTTGGAGCACAGGAGCCAGGAGCCAATGTAGCTGGTGCGAGGGATGAGGTACAGCTCGTACTCGCGGCTGGCAACTAGCTCGGCGATCTCATCCTGCACACATTCAGAGTCGAGAGGTTGTCCCCGGACGCGAGCCAAGGCCCTCTTGGCTTCCGAAATCCGACCTTTCTTGATCAAGTACCGAGGCGATTCGGCTGCCAACGTTAATGGTTCTCCTTCCGTGCAAGAAAGAGGGAAGGGGAGGAACTTTACGCAACACAGCGAGGCCAACCCCGAGGATCATAGCCCACAGGAATTGGACGCCTATCGGGATCCTATACGCGCCGCTGTCGTCTCGACCCTCGGCCGAGTACACGGCCGAGTTGGCCAGCAGAACCCCCAAGCTGATACAAAACTGATACGCGGCTATGAATGCCCCTCGACACCGCTTAGGGGCAATCTCCGAAATGTACATGACAATGACGGCCGAGATGAAGCCAAGGCCAAGGCCGGCGATCAGCCTCCCCAGCACGAACAGTACAACATGGTGTTCGGCGCACATCTGCAGAGCATTTCCAACACAGAGAACCAGGCTCCCGAGGATGACATTCTTTCGCCGTCCGAACGTATCTGCCATGTCACCAGCCACGAGAGCTCCTACCAGAACACCACAAGCCAGAATGCTGGTCATGAGCGCCTTGTGGCTGGCGGTAAGGCCGAACTCGGTCGTCTTCTGTCAACGGGCGCGTAGGTCGTGTAATCGAAATCGACATTGGTGTACAACTCGATGAAGTAAGGGGTGCCGAGGAGCCCGGACATAACAGCCGTTTGGTACCCGAAACAAATGCCACCAAAGGCAGCAAAGGCGCAGATGACGTAGGTCTTGTGCGTCGATGGTGCTTCTATGCGACTGAGGTCGACTTCACGATGGTGAACTGCATCCTCAGAGTCGTTCATTCTGGATGTCGTTGCTCACACCCAGGCATGTGGTTGGGTAGATGCCTTTTTCCTGGCGGGTTGGCAGACACGTGTGAGTGAACCACTCAACCCTGCGATGTTCAGTGTCTGTTCCCAAGGATAAAGAGACAGTCGACGCAAAGATGCTGAGCCTTCGTCTTTTATATATTGCTAAGTCTTTGGCATCTCTAGCTTTTTCTTTTGTCATTAGACTTCGACAGTTTGCAACCAGACATCGAGGGGTCACAACGCCAGGCGTCAGCCACTGCTCTGATCACCAATTCATCAGCGCGAAGGCATTTATGTAATGCAATAGCGCACCATTGCCACTGGCGTATACTTGCTTCGCCGTCTTCCACCTTGTTACCGAAAGCCTTTTCAAACGTAGATGACCCTACGCCGAAGCCGAATTAGGGTGGAAGTACAGGCTAAGCCAAACGCCGTTCGCCTGTCAAGCTCAAGCCTCTCTATCTCAAGTTTCATTCAAATAACCAACACAGAACCCGTGGCGACAAATCTTGTCGACGTGCAGACTTCATTAGTTGCATTTGCACCTTCTCTAGGACTACGTAGCATACCATGGCCGGAATCTCGGCAGTCATCCCATGAGCTTCGCCAATGGGCAGCACCCATAATTCATTCCTTGCACATACTCTCACGAGTGATGCGAGTACATCCATCGCTTTCGTGTCATGTCTCGCATTTAAAACATCTCATCTTCGCCATTTCAACAACGGACAATGCCAACATACAAACACATGATAGTAGCCACGCCTCGGCGGTGATAACGCGGCAAAACGCCTGCGCTACTGCGAGTACCGTGGGAACCGGCTCATCCCATGGCGCTGAACCCTAAAAAGAAGGTTGAAGGCAAGGCAGCGAGCCAGCGCGCCGCACCACCAGGCTCACCAACGAGACTGCTTGCCGACACTTGTGCTCTCTAGCGCACGGAAACACAGCGTCGAGGTCTAGTCAGCTCCTCGTCATGTTGTTTAAAGACCGGCCTAGATCCATCCGCTCACTGTCTGCTGGGCAGGCCGGCCACGACTAGGCATCATTTCACCCACGGGCGAAGGAGCCGTGCGTCCCCCAGGGTCTTGAGCCAATCTGGCCTTCGTTTCCAGAGCCACTCGATAGGAGAGGAGGCACGATACGATCAAGAAACGTATCGTACGCGATGGAAGCGTTGCGAGCGATAAAGAATCGATCACGATCCACGTGACAGTGAAGCCTACGGTTGGCAGGAGCGGCAGTGTTGAAATGAGAGTGGAACGTGGAGTAGAACTAACGTCAATCTCAAGGTCACGTCAGGTGTGGGAATGTCACGGAGAGACTCCAGTTGGACAAAGCGCATGCCTCGTTGGGTTCCGTGACGTACATACAGTCTGACGCCTTCCGCGGGGTGAAGCGCCGGCTAGAGCTGTCGTGGCTGATCATTTGTAAACAGGTACCCCCAAGTGGCCGGAATGAAGTTGGGATAGAAACTGGCGTGTAGAGTTCACGCCTCAGAGGGGTGAATGCCAACACGCACACCCTCTGGAATGTGGAGCTTCATCTGACAGTTTCTGCTGATCCGGATTGTAGGGTCCCACCAAGACACGACTAGAAGCATAAGGGAACGACACTTGAATGTGTGCAATGCCGTGATGTTATTCTTTACCAGGGCGAGAAGTATTATGGGGTAATAGGTACGGGCGAGAAACAGCCTCACCGGGGGGGAATCGTAATCGTAGGTACAACATCGCGTCCCAAGGTATATGCGCACGAAAAGCAAAAAAAAAAAAAGCTCCAATCCAACCACCTCTTCTCCAAATCCCCTCTTCCTATGCCCTGCTGTACAAGCTGCATTACCAGTGCTATCGCAGAAACAGGATGTCGTGAAAGTTGTCGCTCCACATGTTGGAGGAAATCATAGGTGGTTCAAACAAAAGGCCGAACAAACAACATTGCAACATTGCACGGATTTTTGATGTGTTGTGTCCCCATCACGCCAGCGCCTTTCCTTATCGTCAGACTCATCAGTCGTGACACGTTGGTCACCCAACGATCCCAAGTGATATGAGCGGACAATGATCAGAAGAGGGCGAAGAGGAAGGCCATGCTGGCAACAAGGGCCAGGCTGGCGGGGCCGTTGGCCAACGCTGCAGAGTCCTGGTTGACTTGGCTGGGCGAGGGGACAGCCGCGGCGGACGTCTTGAGGACAGTGGGCGCGGCAGAGTGGAAGGTGGACGAGCGGCGAGTCGAGGTGGTGTTGGCAGCCGCGATCAAGGAGCTGCTGCTAGTGGGCACCACACTCGAGGTGACAGGCGCATAGCTCGTGCTGTTGATGGAAGCGACAGTGCTCGACTCGATGACGGGGGCGGAAGTGGTCTCGACGACGACGGAAGAGGTGGTGCTGGTGGTGGTGGTGCTGGTGGTGCTGGTGGTGCTGCTGCTGCTGGTGGTGGCGGTGGTGGTCGTGGAAGGAAGCTTGTAGGCAGAGGAGGTAGAGGTGGCCTTGGGCAGGTCGGAGGTCAGGGCGCCGGTGACACCAAACTTGACGGCGCACTCCTTGAGGCTGAGACCGTTGGGGCAGCACCAGGTCTCGACCTGGGTGTCGTGGGTGCAGTAGAAATTGCTCAAGCAGGAGCCTTGAGATGGTGTCAGTAAACAGCACGCGCGATGGAGCACATCGACAAGAACTTACTGCCAGTGCCGGTGGAGCAGCAAGACTCGTTGGCCGCGGGGTTGTAGCAGTGGACGGAAGAGTCGGAGGAGCTGCACTGAAGGTAGCCGGTGCCGCAAGCCTCGGCGCAAGTGCTGCCTTCGCCGGCGCAGACCTCGTCCTCGGGCTGGTACCCATCAGATTGGCGGCGCAGAAGACCAAAGTCGCGAGTGGACTGGCTGGCGCGGGTGAAGGTGATGAACTCCTGGGCGGCAGCAGAGGTGGCGAGGGCCAGGACGGCCAGAGATGCGAGAGAGTACTGCATTGTGTTGGCGTAGGGTGACGAGCGTATTTTGGGCGATGTATCTCGATGAGGTCGTAGGTGAGGGCGAAAGCGAAAGACTGACGGCGTAGAGATTCTCAAAGGGCGTGTCGTTTCTGGCGTTGTTTAATGAGAGGAATGAGCCAAAAAGGAGCTCTGTTTGCTGTCGCGGGAAAAAAGAATGACTGGGCTGGAAAAGCCTGGGGGACCTGAGGTTTGACGACGATGGGGGTGACAGGAGGTGGAAACGGAGAGCAGACGAGGGGGTTCGGGCCCAGTGCTGGGGTTTTGGGCAGTGAAGAGGGAAAGCGGGTGAGCACGGGCGCAGGGAAGGGGCAGTGCGCTTCGCGCATACCCACGCTGCCCATGTTGCCCGTGCTGCCCATGTGCTGGAAAGGATTGCCTCTGTAATTTGACATGGGTTCTGGCGAGACTTGGCACCTTCCTTGTCTTTGCCTGTCCTTTCCTTGTCGCTCGCCCTGAGAGTGGTCAGAATCGCGGCAGCAACTTCCAGATTGCTGTGTTGCCGCGTTGTCCCGTCTGATAGTCTGATGGGCGAGACAATCGCAGGCGAGCTCGGCCGGCCTGGCCTTCTCCCTTGGGCAGGACTCATCAGCGAGAGGTAGTAGCGACCAACAAGCGCAATGAGGGTCACGGCAACCGTGGATTATACCGAAACACTGGCCAGGGGAAGGGGCCCTCCTGGCCTCCTCCTTCTGGGTCAGACGACTCACCTTGCCAGTGCGTTGGGCAAGGACTGTTCGACAACGTGATTGCTGAGTTGGCAGTCAGACTTGCCTCTCCTTTCCTTCATCCATCACCATGTCAAGCTGTGCCACGATTGTCATCCAAACATAACATCAGCAGCAGCAGCGTCACTCACCCCATCACACCCAATGCAACCTGCAGATCCGCCCCTCCCAAGCGCTGGCCAGCACATGTATCGTCATCGTCATCTACTGGCCACGGACTTCATTGACTTGACAACCAGTTCGAGGGGAAGGCCGGGGGGGCAAACCAAAAGAAACGAATCCAGGCCTCTCAGTCGCCATGTCCCCATCACGTCCGGGATAAGGGGAAATGAGCAGCCTCGCCAGGACCAATCTCAGGAGATGAAGTCCTGCAAGCACGACTAGGGTCACGCGCTCTGACTGGCTGCTGCTATCTGCCGCATGAAGCACGGACTAGCGGGTACCTTGCAGCGTCTGCAGCGTACAAGGCCAATCGTTCCTCCTCCTCCTCTTGACCAATGAGAAATCAAAGCACAAGGACCAGCGCCGTCGCGCTGCCGCGTTTCAGGTCTCGAAGGCCTGAGTACCCTCACGCTCCCTCGATTACTGGCCCCACGATCCCCACGACGCGAAGTGAAGCCGCGAGCCATTTGATCTCGCGATCGCGTTTTTATGCCTCTACGAAAGGAAGAAGAAAATTCTTGCAAGCCTATACGGCCATCAACTCGTTCACCTCGTCATTCTTACCACGAGTCAACAACCGCTGAACCTGGTGACAATGATTGGAGGCTGCTCCACCCAGTTCGTACTTGTAGGACGGCAGACATCTGGTCTCAGTCTCATCACCGCCGAGCCCTGCGTCCGTTTGTCCCGTACTGTACGGCAGCCAACCGCCGGCCGTGTGCCGAGCAAATGTAACGCAAGTGGAGAGCCCTCCGCTGCCTCCCTCCGACGAATATGCTGTGACCCTTTGTCGTGATCACTGCGACTGGGTGTTGAGAGCGATCGCTGAGACACCACGGTCGCCCTGAACGCCCTGGAGAAACACCTTAGCTTGCTTGCGCAAGAGGCTTGAAACGGGCCGTTGTCACCATGCATCCCGAGCGCAGAACTGCCTCAGGACCTCAGGACCTCTGGCCCTGAGGCCACTCGCTTCACGGTTCCGTCAGTCGGTCCAGGTGGCAAGAATCGTCTGGTTCGATTCGGAAATCAGCAAGAAATATTAATTTCGCAGACTGCCAAACCGCAACCAGGCTCTACAAGTACATTCGACGTCTTGTCGATCTGGGTATACTTGGTAGGAATACAGTCAGTTAGTTGATGGTACACTTTGAAGCCAAAGTTGAGGAAAGAAAAAGGAAGAAAGTGAAAAGACATTGGAATCCTTCGCCTCTCAGGCACCAAACAAGACAAGCCCTCGCATCCGCGACGTTGCGCGATCAGTGTGCCAACAGTTCGTTCTTCAGTCGGCAGGCTCCCGCATGAGCTTGGTGATAGTCTTGGTCATCTGGCTATACTTATCCTCAAACGTCTTCTGGAACTTCTCGCAAGCTGCCCACATGGGGTCGGTTCTGTTCCAGTACGTGTAGCAGTTCTCAAAGATTAGCCGCACGTCAGCCGCAAACTCGTTCTCGTTGGTGTATTCTTGTCGGTCCATCTTGAGCTTGACCGTTGCGAGATCCATGGGCTTCTTGACCTTCTCAAAGTAGTCCGGCACGTGGTCCTTCTCAGGGTCGACAGGATCCTTGAAAGGGCCGACAAGCCGGGTCCAAAAGCCTGGCATATGGTTAGTGACGAGCTTCTCCTAGCCGCGCTAATGTGACAGTATGTACCTGGCCCGGAAAGCATCCTTTCCAGAAGATCTGCACAAAACTCGACCTTTCTCTCCGTACTGATATCGCCGTCTGCTATCGCCACAGCGGCGCTGGACCGTCGCTTTGGCAGAGCAGCCTTGACAATCTTGCGAACTGCGGGGGGCTTACGCTCCATCGAAGCGGGAGGCGTGTTGGCCACGGCTGGTGCCACGGCAGACACACGACGAGACTTCTTCGCCCCGCGTGCACGCTCATCGTCGCTGTCGTCCTCGAGGTAATGTACACTCTTCCGGGGCGCGGTGCCCGGTGCCGACGCCGGCTGCGCTGTATCCGGCGAGGATTCCGGAGCTGGAGGAGGTGCAGACTCGAGCGAGCTCATGATGATGACAAGCTCGCTGAGGACCTCTTGGGGCAGGGACTTGGCAAATTCGGCCCGTGTTTCGGATGCCCTCATGTACTCGGCCGCCCACGACAGCAGCAGCTTGCGGATCGACGAACCCTCTGGGGTATCCTCCCAGACCTGGATGAGCAGCGGCGTGGCGGGAATGTGCTTCGTGATGCGCCTGCAATCCAACATGGCGGCCAAGGCCTTGTCGCAGAGGCCGTCGATATCCAACATGTGGCCAAGCTTCCAGACGCCTATGAGTACCTCGTATGAGGGCGTCTCGCCTGACGTCGAGACGACATGGCCGGTGTAGAGAAAGTTTTGGGCGAAGCCGAAGACCTCTGGCGTCGTGTTGGGCAGTCGTACGATGGGTTCGAACGGCTTCTCGTCCTGCGTTGAAACGAGCTTTTGTTCAAAGTACTTTGACCTAGCACATATGAAATCCAGGTGAAGGGCAAAGGGGACCTCGTCGAATCCGACCAGAATGACGACGAATTGAACATGAGGTTGGCTTCTTAGATGTCAGTATACGGCTGCGCTGACTAACGTGGGCACACTCACAGCCATGAAAATGGAGGCTTGACAACCGGCTCACTGTGTCCATTCACCTTCTCCGGCGCAACCGGGAGGTCAGCGCCACCGCCGTTGACGGTGCGCTCTGGAGCTTGCTCCGGTATTGTGCTCTCCACTGAGTCCATCTTCTGGTTGTCAGCGAATGTCACACGAAGAGGATGGGGCCAGGCTGGTCTAAGGGTCACACAGGGGATTGAAAAGAAGTGCTGGTATCGGCCATGCTTCGGATGAGTTGGCCGTACGTCGGCCACGACAAGAAGCGTGGTCCATTCCAATGATCATTTGTGTCTCAATCGTTCAAAGGAAGTAAGGATCGATAACCAGATGGATGGGCACTGGGGTTTGGTGAATGAAGGACTCACCTCATGAGGATCCTCTGGCAGTGCTCGTAGCCAAGCTTATTCGCGGATGGGTGCGACGAAAGGTCTTCTGAGCTGCGTTCTCGCGACAGGAGTATTCGAGAAGTTATCAGTGACAACCTGACCTCGATTGTCTTTGGAATTATGAGATGAAACGGCGTCGTACACGGCTCTAGATGATGGACAGGTTCTTCGTTGAGATTTTGAGAGATATGATGATTCCTGAGGTGCAGTCCCAACACGCGATCCCAGTGGTGAGCAGGTAGGAGCCATGAACCGCGTGGTATGAGGAAGCTTGGACCCACAACCGAGCTGTGCACGGCCGTGGCCCGACTCCTATACCACATTCCCTACTATACCGCCCATATGAACGAAAGGCAAGCACCATGCCCTGCATATGTAGGTAGTCCGAACGTCGCCGAAACAGCATCATGTTGCTACGTGCTCTTGGTCTCCCAGAAGCCTGGGAAGAGCGACATGCCTGGTCACGTGCATTTCAGATATTAGACATGCCATGGCAGCAAACTGGTCACTGATCATGTATATAACGCGATCTGTAAACTGGCACACGTATCCTTTTCCGATGACCTGGTGTGCCAGAGCATCGTAAGCCCGACAAACCATGTTGGACAAACGCCAAACTCCCTCCTCGCAGATGTCGAGAGAAAGAAATGCTCCGTGGAACACAGATTCCCTCGCCTCCCGTCCGTCGCCATGCTTTTGCTCTACTGTACATAGCCCGCTCCCCTTTACTCCTCGTCATCCTCCAGCTCCTCCACCTGTGGTGCGCTGTAACCGGCGCGCTGCTGAGGTTGCTGTGCCGCCAATTGCGTGTCGGTCGCGGTCGTAACGGCTGATGCGGGCGCGGGCTGACCAGTCGCGGCGGCGAAGGCGCCACCCGCGTTGCCGCTGCCGCCGTGAGCAGCGCTGGAGGACTTCTTCTTCTTTCCCTTCTTGGCAGTCTGTTGAGAATACCTGTTAGCAGATGATCCTGGAGCGATTGTCGAGCACGGCAAAACTCACCTCGTGCCAAGCCCACACTGGCCTGAAGCTGTCCATGAAGGACACATCCTCCCACAGGTTCGGGAACAGCCAGAGACCAGGTGACGCGACAAAGTATGTGATGCAGAAGAGAATGACACGGAAAATGGCCATGACGAAGAAGAGGCCGAGCAGGCACAGGAAACCCCAGCTGAGGTAGTAGACGCCCTGGCGCAGCTTGAGGGGCCACAGCGGGTAGCAGACGATCAGGAAGATGACGAGCAGGGCAATGGCGGCATAGACCTTGCGCATGACCTGGCTGCCCTCGTAGAACCAGACGTAGTACATCTCTTCTTTGGCCTCTTGCTGAGGCTCAATCTTGACGGTCCAGAGGCCCTTCACGCGCTTGGGCTTCTTGTGATCGTGGCCCTCATGGGCGTCCGTCTTGCTGACGCGAAGCGCAAGCATCGACATGGGCAGGAGTTTAAAGGTGTTCTCGAGGGAGGCACGGTCGGTGATCTCGGGCAGAAGGGGGTTCTTCTTGCGGGCCTTCTCATACGCAGGCGACTGCAGCGCCCTCAGCGCACGCTTGACTGGAATGGGGTCAGCACAGGTCGGGGAAGGAGGAGTGGTGGGAGAAGACGAACCCTTGAACATGTCCTTGCGCTCGCCGTTGAGAATGCAGGTACGCGGCTTCAGCTCCTGGCCGCGCAGGAAGGTGGCGAGCGCCAGAGCCGCGGGGTTTGGTGGGCCGGGCGTGATGGGTTGAGCGGCACCGGGACGGGCTCCAGGAGGAGGTCCGGGGTGAGGACCAGGCGGACCATGCTGATGGGGGTGCGCCTGGCCAGGTTGGCCGGGCTGGCCTCCCTGCTGTTGTGCCCTCTGTGCAGCGGCCATCCTCTGCGCCTGGGCCTGCTCCCTCAGCTTGTCGACGAATTCGGGGACGGTCATGCCGGCCTTTTGCGCGTCGGCCTCCAGCTGCCTTCGCATGGCTTGAATCTGCTCGGGAGAAGGCATCTGGCCAGGCTGCAAGGGAATACCTTGGCCTGGCGGCGGCGGGCCTGGCATCGACATGGTGATGGTTCGTGAGGTTGCTTGATCGGGAGAGATTGACAGTGATCACTGAACAGCTGACGCGGGTGCTCAAAAAGGGAAAAGGGAAGGATAAGCTTGCAAGAGAAAGCGTGAGATCCAGCGTCGGTCGACTTGACAGGTGGTCGGAATTACTGATGTGATTCCCTTCTGGTGCGTGTCCCTCGACAGATTGGGGTACTAATAAAAAGGTACGTCACTCCGGACTCAGACAGCCAGGTGTTCTCTTCCTCAACCACCAAAATTTCTGGAGCCACCTTCCACCCCAGGAACCAGAGCTTCCGCCGATACAACGACTTTTGCCGAAGTGGGCCCGTTCTTTATAATTCGAGGCTGCTGAGGTAAGTTGAGTGTGCACGTGATGGCGAGGGTGCTACCCCTCACTGGTCCTCACCCGAGCTGAATGTACTCGAATGCACCCAAGCCCGCCGCAGCCCGCTTCTATCATCATTTTCCAGATCGGTTGTATCCCGACCTACACCTTCAGCTTCAGCCCCATGGGCAGATGACGATGGAAGACCGTCGCTCTCGACGATCCGTGGTCGATCAGCCGCTTCTCGAAGCATGTGAGAGAAGGCTTTCTCAGCCACCTTGACGTACATATCTTACCTGCGGAGGGCACCCAGCCTTGACTCGAGCAATCAAGGCTCGTCATGATGATATTATTAGGGAGAGGCAAAGACAGTGGGCCACACCAAAGGCTTCGCCTTCTCTGACTTCGTCGCCGCCTGCGCCGTTATTGTCCTACCGGAGAACGGCACCTGGCTCTTGCTTGCTCATTAGGCTTCCCGCATTGTTTTGCCGATGCCTTGCATCCACACCCACCTTTTCTTTCAATGCATCATCGTCTCACGTTCGGCCAAGTCAGCTTTTCTGTGCAAAACAAATCCGGCGCCGAGACTGGCATCAGGTCGTGTTTTGCGATGACAGATCCGAATACAACGGCAAACTAAGAAAGGCGGCGGACCCCTGCTACGGTTGCGGCCGCGCTGGGCACGTCTTCCGCGTCTCGGAGCAGCGAGGGGATTGGCTCTGCGTCCTGCGATTCCTGACAACGTTGCACGTTTTAGGCCATGCCGTGCCCTACAGGACGAGCTCCCGGGAGCTGTTGTTGTGACGACTTCCAGGATGGGATCCATGTCGAGATCAAAGGGGAACCCTCTTCTCGCCAGACGCCCAATCTAAATCACGCACGCGACCCCCTTCGCGGAGACTTGTGGCAGCGACTTGGTGGCTTCGAGTGACCAGACCAAGGCATTCTAAGACATCGACTCGCTGAGCCATCACCCGCATCTTACACGACTGGCAATACTGGGTCGGCATGGTGGGGCTGGCCATCTGATGGTGTAGCGCCAGCCATTCGAATCCGACCACACTCTGCAATCCTAAGCGCCGACTGGCCCGCGGCCGCTGCATCACGGCCTATCATGTGCCTCTCTGCGCACCCCTCCGACGAACTCCCACGACCGTCTTTTCTCAGCTTGGCCTATGAAGCCGCTGATGTGAGGTCGAAATGGGAATCCAACATGAGCCCGAGTGGGCACTCGTCTTCGGCGTCGCCTTGACTCTTAATCACTCGCCATCTCGCATTTCCTGCCGCGTCGCCGCTGCTGGGTCTAGGCACCTGAGCTGTTCCCTGGTTCTCTCATTCTGTTCGTCAGATCGCTGGCCGTCTTTCGTTATTTTTTCCCACCCTACCAGCTCCAGTTTTCGCCTCTCTCGTTCGTGTGTTCCCCCTAGCTTGCAGAACAAAGCTGGCAGAACAAAGCTTGCAGAACAAAGAGCCAGGCATGTGGATGCCGACACCTTGCCAGCAGTTATGAAGGGCTTGAGTGGCATGCTGGAGGGAGCCTACGCAACATGGCGCTCTTCTGTCTCCCAATTCTGCGCACCTCTTTCTGGCTGTCTGGATAATAAGCCTGATCAAAGTGAGTCCCAGAACACGGATCCGATGACGCATTTCCTATCGTGTCGCCCGAGAGCCATGCCGACGGAAAGTGAACGCATATTGACCCACGAAGAAGTAATGGCAGAGAAGAGATCGATGAGGGTGCTACGCGACCAGCCTTTGCCCGTGCCGAGGCCGTACGCAGGTCGAGGACAGGAGCCTCACCGGTCAGGTAGCGCTTCATCATCAGAAAAGGGACATGCCTCGAAAAAGAGCTTCGCATCATCCGTCCGCGCCAGTCTCTCTGTGAGAAGACGGCTGCGATCCTCCTCCAACACAGCACCGCGCCGGCCGCAAATCTCCGCCCCGTCCGACTTTCGCCACCTCCATTCAGAATCTTTTCAGTTTCCCCAGTACAGCCGCATGCAGAGCGTATCTAGACGGCCGCCTTTGCCGCCATCTTTTCGCCCGATCGAGCTGAGCATTTACATGCCGAACAATGAGCTCTCGCCCATCCTGCCGCACTTTGAGTATCCCAGCATCATCACCGCGCCGTCGGCGGCCCGGCTTCCGGAAAGCCGCGTCGACGACTTCACTCTGAACCGTCAACTGAGTTACACCTCCATGTCGTTTCACATCCCCCGCAAACCAAAGGCGTCACCGCAAACCTCTTATGAAGAGTCGCCGCCGAGGGTGCCACCAAAGTCGAGAGCCCGGGCCTACACAGCACCCAATGTTGCCGAGATGAAGGTGCGCATTGCCAGTGCCATGAACGAGGTCGAAAAACTTCAGAGGGAGATCGACAGTGCCATTGAGCGTCAGAGTCTTTACGCCGCTAGCAGTCGGCCCTCGACTGCGCATTCCATGGCGCCCACTGGTAAGCTTTATTTGCATGAGAATCATCTCACTCGCACGTGTACGACTGCTGACGGCCCCGCCCCATTAGAGATGGAGCCGATGCCCTCCATTCCAGCCCTGCCACCGGCCGCGCCCTCGTTCTCCGAGCGGCTGAGCCAGGAGCGCCCTCGTACTGCGCCTTCGCAGTTGCCTGTGCGCATCCCCCGTCGTGCCAAGACGTTCGCCGAAGCCTCTGCGGCCTTCATCACCCCGCCCCCGAGCCGCGAGGGTCCCGAACACCAGCCACCGCCGCCCCTGCCCCTGGTGCTACGCCCCCCTCTGCGCAAGAAGAAGTCCTTCTCTCGCGTATCCAGCTGGCTCTTCCCTGGCGGGGCCGCTGCCGCTGAGCACTCGCGCGACATGAGCTTCGACTCTGTTACGAACCTGCCACGGCCCGTGAAGGGCCGCGAAGGGTTCTACCAGTGCGTGTCGCCCCCAGAAGGTGCCGGAGGCAGGCGAAGCTGTGACAGCACCGCGACGGTCTCGACGTGGACGTCCGAAGATGAGGACCAGACGGCGCCCACGACGACTTGGTCGCCTGGCAGCACGCCGTTGACGAAACAGCACGAGGAGGTGCCGCTCGAGCGCGTCAGCACCTTTGGCAAGGAGCGAGGCGCCAAGACGTTTCGGCGTCCCAGTGTTGGGATGGCCTTTTAGAAGCGGGGAGATTTTAGGGACGAAGGGAATTCTTGTGATACCATGAGTGTCTGGGAGACAACTCTCCCATTGGGGGCACTTTCCCCACTGTACATAAATCCGATAGAGGCTGGGTCGGTGATGCCCTGTTGTTCCGCTTGCATGCGAGGTAATTGATGGATGCCGCCCTTGAGGCCAAGAGCTTTGGCATTTTGAGCATATTTTCAGGGTATATTTAAGTTTGTCCCTGCTGTACGTAGTTTTTGACAAATAAACTCACATGGGACCTGTATGGGCGATTCCTTGGGGGACCTTTGCTACTGGCACATTTACATGAGTGGCGGGGGGCGCAGCTGTACGCATCGACCCATGCCGTGGCCCGCGATGCCACAATCAAGTGCGGTGTGCAAGAAGCATCGCTATGTTACATGCATCTCTGCATTGTGCAGATGAATGGCGTATTAGGACACCTGGTATAGGTCATTCCGCCCGGCCTTCCCCGAGCCATGCGCGCGCACATAACCATCGCTCGGTGAATTTAATGTGGGGCCGGATCGGAGGTCCAATGGCGGAGGTCCACCCGGCCGCGTCGGTGAATTCAACCCGCCGCTCGGGGAATTACATTAAGGCCGAACAGACGAGTTTCAGGCCCGTTTAAAGACGCCATTGCCACCGTTGCATCTTGGCTTCATTCGGGACAGGGCAAGTTACACACGGGTCAGATGCTATCCCTTCCTGCCGATGGCCGTTCTTTGGCTGGGGCGGGGCATGTTGAGTCCGATTCGAAGAGGGCAGAGGTGATACCAGAGGGGAGCCATGCATGGGACACACACACACACACACACACATACACAGACACACAGACACACACGGGGACGTGTCAGGCCTTTGTGATGGGGCTGCCGCTGCACCGCTGCAGCTGAAATGGAGTCGAGGGGGCCGCCCCCGGTCTGGAAGAATAAAACCAAAGGACCCTGCGAATCGGGGGCTGCAAAAGCCGGAAAAGTAAGTGTTGGGAAAGAGCCACCCGGTTGTCGGCGTTCGGTTTCGGAGCTTGAATTTCGGAGAGGGAAGCAACAGCCACCACGGCAGGCGGGGTTTTTTATAAGCTTGTGTCCTTCCACTGCACTTTTCCTCTTTCTCTCCCTCTCTCCCTTGCTCCCTCTCTTCGGCTACCATCTTTCACTGCTTTCCTCAAATCCTTTCAAGATCCGAAATACCAACACAATTACCCGCATTTATTAGCCTGAGCTCCGACACTGCCACGGACCCTGACTGCACAATGGGTTCCGGGTGCTGCTCAGGCGATAACACCGCCTCTCGTGAAGACCCGTCTCCTGCCGCCGCTGCAGCCAACACTGGCTGCTGTGGCACCACCAACACTGGCCCTGTTGCAAATGCCGACAAGTCATGTTCTTCCTCTCTGACTTCGGAGGTTGGCGAGAAGGACAACGGCTGCGAGGAAGGCGGTTCCTGCTGTGGCGATAAATTTACCAAGCCAAACCCTGACGCCTGCCAAGACGATTGCTGCTCTGATCCAAAGGAGACCAGTCTCGATAAAAAGGCTTCTGATATCTGCAAGGACGGCTGCTGTTCTGTTGAACCCAAGGAGGCCGGTCCCGTCCAACCAGCCCCTGACGCCTGCAAAGACGCCTGCTGCTCTGACCTAAAAGAGACCATCCTTGACAAGATGGCTCCCTCGGGCTGCAAGGACGGTTGCTGCTCTGATCCAAAGGAAACCAGTCTCGTTGAAACGGTCCCCTCAGGCTGCAAGGACAATTGTTGTTCTTTTGAACCGAAGGAGGTCGTTCCCGTCAAAACAGCCCCTGACGCCTGCAAAGACGGCTGCTGTGGCGATCAGCCCAAGAACAATAACATCAGCGAAGAAACCGCCAAGTCATGCGAAGACGCCTGCTGCGCCGACGAGAATGGTGCTCGTTCGACAGAGGAACCAGCTGCTTCTTGCAGTGGTGGATGCTGTGGTGATAAGGTCCAGGCAAACACCTGCGAAAGTCAGACGAAGGCTTCCGCAGGCTGCTGTGGCGGCGAGAAAGATGCTTGCGGCAATGAGAACCGCTCGCCGAGCATCAGCTCCGATGCAACCACTTGCTGCGAAGGTGAGGAGAAGTGTGACGGTATGTACTTGCCCGCGTTGTTCCACAAAATGAATGGGTTTTGCGCGTTACGTGGCTTTCACAGATGGATCACGAGCTGACTGTAGACTGTGCAGAAAAATGCATTTGGGCCGTCGCGGCCATGGAGTGCGAAAAGGCTTGCGACGAGGATGCCGATCACAACGGTAAGAGTCCTTTACACTGAGAGCCAAGTGCCGAGAACATTACGGCCCCTCGGTGTGCTTTGTGCTAACAATGAGCTGTATAGAAGCCGAAGGCCACCACCATGCCCACGACAAAGACGGCCAACACCTTAACTCCGCTTGTACATCCCATCTCCAGAGCGCAATGAGCCGCTACGAAGCATACATCGAACAAGCCCGATGCATCTGCCGCAGCATCCTGAACAGCGGCCTCACCCAGACCTCCTGCTGCGCTGCTCGTAGGGCGGCTGCTCCTCAGGCCAGAAACAAGGTGACCTGCTCCAGCGGTGTATCGACTTCCAAGACAAGCAGAACGCTCCGACAGGAGTCACAATGCGGAAGCAAAACCGACGGCTTGCCCATCGCCACCGCAAAGGTGAAAGAGTCTAGCTGCTGCACCAGTCAAAAACAAAAAGCAAACGCACCAACTGTTGCAGTCAGGGCCGCGCCCCCTGATCTCCGCGGATCACGGGAGAAGCAGAAGGATCTCGAGGAGTGCTCTGGTATCGAGATGGTCGCCGTCGGCGTCAACGGCATGACTTGTTCAGGCTGCAGCGACAAGTTGACGCGTATTCTCAAGGCTACTCCGGGTGTCTCTGAAGTCCGTGTCAATTTCGTCATGAGTGTTGCCGACTTCAGTGTTGACTTATCTGTCAACAAAGCCACGGACGTCATCAAAGCTGCTGAGGGTTCAACTGGATTTCAGATAACCCGACTGGCAGGCGGGGACTTTCACCTCGATGTATTAGCCTCGGGACTCGCCGCTAGAGCCTTGATCGACGAGCCAACAGATGGGATCATGGATGCCATGATTCTCGACAAGAAAACCGTAAGGCTATCTTATGATCCAGGTTTTATCGGCGCCCGCGATTTGTTTGACAAGATTCACGATCGCACTGAGGGCCTCGCGCCACCTCAGGCCGACCCGTCTTTGGCGAGCGGGCGCAAGAGATTACTCGACCAGCTGCTGAAGACTTGTGTGGCCGCTATACTTACCATCCCGGTCGTGGTACTTGCATGGGGCGACAACCTCGTTGACGACAAGACCAGAGCCTATGTCTCGATCGTCCTGGCAACGCTTGTGCAGTTGATCGCGGTACCCGAGTTTTACAAGCCAGCGCTGTCCGCTCTTGTTTTCAGCCATGTCCTCGAGATGGACATGCTAGTCGTCATAAGCATCACAGCAGCATATCTATACTCGATTGTCGCCTTTAGTTTCCGCATGGCCAACAAACCGCTGGAAACAACGGAGTTCTTCGAGACCAGTACGCTGCTCATTACCTTGATCCTTCTCGGCCGTCTGATTGCAACATATGCCAGGGTCAAGGCTGTTGGAGCCGTGTCCATGCGATCTCTGCAGTCCAGCAATGCGGTACTCGTGGAAGAAGGCAAGGACCGTGAGATTGATGCCCGGCTTCTCCAGTATGGCGACATATTCAAGATTCCGCCGCACAGCCGTGTGGTGACAGACGGGTTTGTGCTCTCAGGCCACAGCGAGGTCGATGAGTCGATGCTGACAGGCGAGTCAATCCCTGTCCCCAAGCAATCGGGAGACTATGTCATTGCTGGAACGGTCAATGGCGACGGGGTCATCACCGCACGGCTCACTCGTCTCCCCGGCAAGAACACGGTCACAGATATCGCAGAGATGGTCGAGGAGGCCACCAACTCGAAGCCCAAGATCCAAGACCTAGCCAACAAGGTGGCCAGCTGGTTTGTGCCAGTAGTGTCTGCCATTGCTGTCCTTGTCGTCATCATCTGGGTTGTGGTCGGTCTTCGTGTACGCAACGAGAAGACCGGCAAGGCGGTTGCTGACGCCATCACGTATGCTGTGGCGGTACTTGCTGTCTCTTGTCCCTGTGCTCTCGGCCTCGCCGTTCCCATGGTCCTTGTCATTGCAGGCGGCATCGCTGCTCGAGGTGGTATCATTATCAAGTCAGCAGACTGCACTGAGAGTGCTCGCAAGTGCACTGATGTCATCTTTGACAAGACAGGTACCATCACCGAGGGCGACTTGGACGTCGTGGCCGAGGAGATTTTTGGTGGTGCCAACGAGGAAGAAGCTCTTGCACTTGCCAAGGCTCTCGTCGCGGGGGGTAAACATCCCGTGTCAGCAGCGACAGAAAGGCATCTCGAAAGCCGCGCGGTCCAATCCCTTGCCGCTGTCATCGATGTTCGTGTTGTGCCTGGCGCAGGGGTCGAGACAAGGTTTAATGGTAGCGTGTTGCGTGCCGGCAACTCACGCTGGACAGAGACGGAGACGCTGCCGGCTGTGAAGAAGCTCGAGGACCAAGGTCTCACGACGCTGGTCGTCACGCGCGACTCGACCCCGCTGGTCGTCTTTGGGCTCCGCACGCAACTTCGTCCTGAGGCTCAGCGGGTCATTGCTGCGCTCCAAGCTCGCAACATTACGGTGCATCTCGTTTCGGGCGACCAGGCTCGCGCGGTGCAGTCGGTCGCAGAAGCGGTGGGCATCCCGGCAGACAAAGTGGCAGCGGAGAAGACTCCGTCGGAGAAGCGTGACTACGTGGCGGCCGTCATGGAAGACAAGCGCAAGTACGTCATATTCTGCGGAGACGGGACCAACGACGCGGTCGCAGTGGCGCAGGCGCACGTCGGCGCGCAGATGGGGGGTGCGCTCTCGTCGAGCGACGTGACGCAGGGCGCGGCCGACGTGATTCTGCTGGCGGGCCTCGACGGGATTCCGTTCCTCCTCGACGTCAGCCAGGCCTCGTTCAACCGCATGGTGTTCAACTTTGCATGGTCGGCGGTGTACAATGTGCTTGCGATTCTGCTGGCGGCTGGGGCGTTTGTGCGCATCCGAATCGAGCCGGCGTATGCTGGTCTGGGCGAGATTGTCAGTGTGCTGCCAGTGATACTTGCGGCGCTGTCGATGCTTCTGCTCAACATTCGCGGCAAGCACCAGCAGTAGGCGAAACAAGGGTGCGGCATTTCGACGGGGAAAGGGACGGTGGAAGAGCTGCCCAAGGTGCAGCAGGGCGGTGACAGGGTGAGGGGAGGAGGCGGACGGGCAGTGTCTGAAGATTAGGCGTTTCATCTTGGCAGTCGTCGAGGTGGCTGTGTAAGGTCGTCTTTTTAAACACCTGTCAAATGGGCTTCTGTCCATGTCTGTGCTTTTCCCTGGTGACCGTGAGCTTGGATGTCGCCCGAACGCAACTCGCGATATCTGTAAAGAGCGAGGAGGGCGCGGGCGTGGGCGTGGGTGTGGGCGTTGAGGTCGTTGGTGATGGAAGTTTGGCCATGGTGAGAGAAACGCTTGGCTGTGCTGGGTGGTTTGGGCGGTCATGATGAGTGAGGGATGACTGAATATAATTATTTTCTTCTTCTTCTTCTTCTTCTTCTTCTTCTTCTTCTTCTTCTTGATGTCCTGAATGCTGAGTATTATTCAAAGCGAGTAAACGCGAGTATTATTCAAAGCGAGTAAACGCGAGTATCATTCAAAGCGAGTAAATGCAATGTTTTGGCGAGGTGAAAAGAGTGACGCCACCGACGCTCACCGAACCCTGGCGGCCGTGCCCTGGGGGAAGGAGGTGCTGAGGGGGTCCTCCTGCCTAAAAATAGGGCACCCCACGCAACTGACAGCTGTCGCCGTTGGAATTCCGTTGCCTGGGCCTCAAACCACGCCTGCATGCCAAGCCAAGACGTCTCATCCGGGCACATCAAACACAGCTCACCGTCACCGCCAACCTTCAATCAACGCCGACCCTCCATCAACCAGGCCCCATCGATCGCCTTCTTCGCACTCCGTCCCATCTGCTCGCTCCTCGTGGCTGCAACCCTTGGGCTCCGACTGCCAAGGCGTGTCTCACTTTTCCTCTTTCTGTGCTTTTTGGGACGCAACTCCGGTCTCTGCCCCTCCTGCTACCACGGAACACTCAAGCCAAGACCGGCCAGTCTGCCCAGGGATCGCCCGGGCCCCTTCACGACCCCCCCTCCTCCTCTCCGCGTCGGCCTGTCTTGGGAGCTTGCCTTCTCCGGCTCGTGTCACTTTGTATCGGTTCTCCTTGGCGCCAGGCCAGGGAGAGTACCGGTATTGAGGGAGGGTATATCACGAGCGGGTGCCTAGCTTTTTCATCGTGAGACGATCCCGGGGTCGAACACAAAGCTTGGCCTTACCTTAATTCTTTTCATCCACACATACGCACACACACGCAGAGACAAAGTCCACACACACACACACACACACACACACACGCAGAGACAAAGTCAACATACACACAGGCAAAGCCCACACAATGGGCATCATGGAGTCGACAGCCTCGATGAAGGCCTGGCTCCCAGGGCACAACAACCACAAGTACGAATCATTACCAGCACACAGCCCAACAGCACCCACATTACCGGAGAACCACCGAGGCTTCTGGAGGAGAAACAAGGGATGCATCACCCTAGCATGCATCACGGCCCTCGTGCTCGTGGGCGTGCATGCTGGTACCATTTACAGGTAAGCCACCCTCACGGTTCGGTCGACAAGCAAGCAGCCAATCGTCCCTGCTAACTCGGGGAACAGACACGTCTCGCGCGGCCGACACGAGATGGAAGACGTCTCCCGGCTCTGGGGCCAGTACTCGCCTTTCTACCCCGTTCCGTCAGAGATTGATCCCGCCATTCCCGCGCAGTGCGACGTCACGTTTGCGCAGGTTCTCTCGCGCCACGGCTCGCGCGACCCCACGGCCGGCAAGTCCGAGGCGTACCTCGAGCTCGTGGGCCGTATCCAGGATGTTGTCGAGGACTATGGCAAGGGCTACGAATTCATCCGCGACTACGAGTACACGCTCGGGCACGACCAGCTGACGGCGTACGGCGAGAGGGAAATGGTCGAGTCGGGGGCCGCGTTTTACCGACGGTACCGGGCGCTCGCCGCCATCTCGGAGCCGTTTGTGCGGGCGTCAGGCCAGCGGCGTGTCGAGGCGTCGGGTCGCAACTGGACGCAGGGGTTCTACGCGGCGCGTGCGCGGGACGGGCTCGAGGCGCCGGACGATGTCGAGGACGAGATGCTCATCATTCCCGAGCGGCGCGGGGCCAACAACACGCTGAGTCACGGACTGTGCCCGGCGTTCGAGTCCGGCCCGCTCGCGCGGCTCGGCGAGTCGGCCAAGCTGGCGTGGCAGGATGTCTTCATGCCACCGATCGCAGCGCGCGTCAACGCGGCGCTGCCAGGGGCGAACCTGACGGAGCACGAGACGGTGTACTTTATGGATCTGTGCCCGTACGAGACGGTGGCGGACGCGCAACTGCGGCCGTCGGCGTTCTGCAGCCTCTTCACACGCGACGAGTGGGCTAGCTACGACTACTACCAGACGGTGGCCAAGTACTACGGCTTCAACGCCGGCCACCCGCTGGCGGCGACGCAGGGCGTCGGCTGGGTCAACGAGCTCGTGGCGCGGCTGACGGACACGGCGGTCGAGGACGACACGACGACGAACCGCACGCTCGACAGCGACAGCGCCACGTTCCCGCTGGGCCGCGGCATGTACGCCGACTTTAGCCACGACAACGACATGCTCACCATTTACGCGGCGCTCGGGCTCTACGACGGCGCCGCGCCGCTGCCGCGCACGCGGCGGCAGACGGCCGAGGCGTCGGGCGGTTTCTCGGCGGGCTGGCTCGTGCCGTTTGGCGGGCGCATGTACGTCGAGAAGATGCGGTGCGAGGGCCACGACGAGGAGATGGTCCGCGTCGTCGTCAACGAGCGCGTTGTGCCGCTCGAGGCCTGCGGCTCGGATGCGCTCGGGCGATGCGGGCTCGGGGCCTTTGTTGAGGGGCTCGAGTTTGCGCGGAAGGGTGGAAAGTGGGATCAGTGTTTTGCGTGATTTTTGTTGGTCTCTTCTTTTTTGACTTTTTTTTCTTCCCTTTGTCCTTATGAGTGATGACTAGGATAATATCCGGCGGCATGGCGTATGGTGTTTAGACGAGGGACGGGTAGAGGGGCGGGTAGAGGGATCACCGACACGTGTGGAGTGTGAAGGGGTAATACGAGGACGTGATTCTCAAGGATTAGTAGATCTCGAAGGATCAATAGATGGATGCAAACTACAGATTGATTCTCCATCGTACTGAGAGGATATGTGATACAAGGGATCAACAGTTCAGAGCCCCTTTCACTTGACAGGTGATTCAGGTAAACAGGCCCGCTGTATTTCCAGGGACTAGGCCACAGGGCTTACAGTGCACTGGACATGCCAACCTTGGGTGCCAGCTAGACACACAGTACATCCCTTTAGTGCCCAAATTTGACCTCAGTACATACCTTACATTGATCACCGCCTGCTTAAAGAGCTTTGAGGTGGATCTCAGTAGGTACAAGCTCTGTACATTTTTGAGAGCGAATGTGCCTACAGCATATAGGTACTGTACAGGCATCTAGATGTCCTGCCCACTATCTCCTTTGATTCAATTAGTGACATGTATTTTCTGCCACTCGGCTGTCGATCATACGAAGTACTGAGGCCGAATTTGGGCCCCAAAGGGATAGGTACAGTCATGCGACAAAAAAAACGACGGATTTCCGTTTCCACGCAAAAACATATAGTTTTCTAACCTCTATTACTTATTCTATAGATCACTATAAATAATGATTTTGATACTACTTGTAGGACCTTACATAATCTATAGCGTCTACTATTCAGATTGCTAATAGCTATTTTACTTATTTTATAATAGTATTTTGAAAGTTAAATCAGTATTTCTCATAACAAAAATCCGTAGTTCTTTTTGTCGCATGACTGTACCTACCTTACCTAAGGTAAGGTACCTGTGTAGCCCCTAGTTACCTACCTAGGTACCTCAGTAGATCCTATACCTTCCAAGCAGGCACGAACAGTGAGGGCTGGGACAGACTGCAGGGCAAGGAAGCGCAAGAGGCGAGGAAAAAGAAAAGAATCTTCAGCAGTCATCCTCCAGCAGTCATCGAAACAAGAGCAAGACAAGAACATTCCACCGATCCGAGCTGGTTTCAGTCCCTTGGCGTGAGTTCCCAGGACCCAGGACGAGTACCTGTACTCTCCGTCACCCCACCCCAGATTGACCAATGGAACGAGCGCCGTAGAAACAGGGAAAAGGCGACGAGGGCGAGCTGCGAGATAAGCGGGTCCCATGCTGCTGCTTCCAAATGCGTCACGTCTGCCAACACGAGCAGCTGCACCACCACCACCACCTCTATCATCATCAGCATCACATCTGGCCAACGACATCTGCCAGCGCTTCGTGCCACCGTTCCAAGCAGGGCGCCATCTGCCGCATCCCTGAAGCTTCAGAACCGCCGTGGCCCCGAGGTCACCGTCACAGAGCCCTTCAACCACCACCATCCCATCAATTGCAAGCGTACTGCGACGCCAAGCGACCAACCGACAGCTCCGGCGATTAACCCTCACCAAACCATCCCGTCGCAACGACGCCGAGCGCTTCTCGCCTGCGACGCATCCATCGCCAAAGCCGAAACACGCGTCGAACCCTCGCAGCGCATCGCATCGAACCCGCCTCCCGCAGAGTCGTCCCCCCAAAATGGTCTCCACAGCAGGCGGCATCGTCATCGCCATCATCATCCTCGCCCTCGCCGGCGCCCTAGCCTGGGTCATCTTTACGCAGCTGCGCGCCCGCAAGCTCGGCGTGCGTCTCTCTCTCTCTCTCTCTCTCTCTCTTTCTCGTCACTTTCTCTCTCGCTTTCTCCGAGCAGCCGGCTAACTTTGCGTCGCCCCACAGCTCCCCGCGCCCTCCATCGCATCCTACATCCCCTTCTACAAGCCAGACCCCTACGGCTCCTCCTCCTCCTCCTCAGGCGGCAGCGGCCCCCTCGCCACCATCAAGGGCTGGTTCGGCCGACGCAACGCCCGCTCCGCCGCCGGCGCCTACGAACAGCCCGGCGCGACGGGCGGCGGCGGCAACAACAACAGCAACGCCGCCGGCCGCCGCGGCTTCGGACCCCTCGACCCGGACGACGCCTGGGACGCGCGCGTCGGCCACGAGGCCGACTCGTACGGGCCCTACGGCGCCTACGACGAGCAGGAGCTCGGCGACCGCGGACGCAGCGCCGGCCACGCCTACCAGGCGCAGGTGCACCGCAACGGCGGCGGCAACCCCTTTGACGACGACGCCGAGCCGAGCAACATTGGTGGCCTCAGGGGGGTGAGTCCCCGGCCGATTGACACGGGGGCTGCGACGCAGCAGCAGGGGCAGCAGGGGCCCAAGGGTGGGAGTCCGACGGAGAGGAGGTCCATGTTTAGGGAGAATGTTTGATTCTTTTTTTTTCCTTCTTGTCTCTGCCCTGGGAAAGGGGTTGTCGGTAGGGATTACCACACTTGGGTTTATACTTTTAGGTCTTCAGGGGCGTCTGCGTGTTTCTGGTTCTTTTGGTTCTTTTGAGTTTCGGCCTTCGGCCTCTGCAGGCTGCTGTTTGTAGCAACCAAGGCACAGAGAAGGGGGGCCTTGCGATCGTCACTGCCGGATGACGGCCTCACGAGCTCGATGAAATACAGAAGCCATGTCTTTGTCCGTGCTGCGCCATGCCTTGAGACTCGGACCAGGTGCTGCGTCCCCTTAACAGCCAATTCACGAGCATCTTGGCAGGTCACCATGTGTCGAGAGCAGGTAACAAGTCGAGAGCAGGTAAGAAGTAGTGCCATGGGCGAATGTATTTTCATAGGGGATAACGAGAGAGTCCCCGATCATGTCGAACCTCCCGCAAATGCATCCAGCAAATGCGCCCTGGGAGCAAGAGGAAAAATGTAAAGACATGTGAAAGAAGAATGTGGAAAGGAGTTTAGAAGAAGAAGAAGAAAAAACCGCCGGATCCCACTCGTCATGCACATACACGTTCAAGAAAACGCCCCCCTCACGCGGAGAAACCAAATCTGCAGGTTTCGCTTCATGCATACATACAACTGGTATCCAAACACGCACGCACATAAACACCCGGCCCCAAGCCCCGCCGCATGCGAAACGCAGCAACCCCCCGCTCACGCCGCGCTGGCGCTCGCCTTGGGCGCAGACGCCTTGGTCGCGTCGCCGCTGCCCACGCGATGGGGCGTGAACCCGTCGGGCACGGGCCCGCCTATCGGACCGGGCGTCAGCAGGTTGAAGAGCCACATGACGAGGAGGATGAAGACGATGCGCGCCTGGAGCGTGCGGAGCATCGACCGCAGCGGCGGCATCTCCTGGAAGTAGCGGGAGACGGTGGTGCGCGAGCGGCCGAGGAGGCCTGTGCCCTGCTCGTACATGTACGGGCCGTCCTCGTCATCGCTGTCCTCGGCACGCTCCTTCTCCTCCTGCTGCGGCAGCGGTCGCGGGGCGTGCTCTTCGGGCTTGGACTCGGAGAGGATAATCTTGACGAGATTGTTCGTGGCGTTGGCCGTCAGAGAGCTGACCCACAGGAAGACGGGCACGATGACGAGGAGAGACTTCCACCGGTCAAAGTTGGAGCCGTCGCCGCGCAGCTGGTTGATGAGGAGCACGCCCTGCGTGTCGGCGGCCAGGAACAGGTGGAACTGGAGCGTGTACGTCTCGAGCGAGCACTGGCCTAGCCAGGCCATGCCCTTGGAGTAGTAGTTGCGGACGGGCGCCGAGACGTTGCGCACGGCGATGAAGGCCAGAATGGGCACGAACGAGAGGTAGGGGTGCCAGAGGCGGTAATCGCCCATCGACGCAAGCGTCGTGCCGCAGGCGTAGGCGTAGCCCGCCATGACGACGAGGCCAACGAGGGCCATGGAGCACCGCAGCGCGAGCCTCAGCTCCTCCTTGACCTTGAGGTACGCAATGGCGGAAAGCATGCCGATGTAGACGATGAAGAGGTCGAGAGCGACGCGGTACTCCCATTCCTCGAGGCTCCACTTGATGTTGAAGAAGATGCGCAGGAAGCCAAATGTCCACTTAGTCAGGGGTGTGACGAGCACGACAACGGCGACAATGACGGCCGAGATGCAGATCTTGGCGAGCACGAGCTGGATGTCATCATTGTACCTCTTGTGGCCGACGGCCATGGTGAGATAGACGACCATGAACCAGAAGCTGACGAGCGGCGAAAAGTAGTAGAACATGTAGTCCGTGTTCATAAAGTAGGCGAGCGACACACTCAAGAGGTTGAGGCGCAGCATGACGGACGCCATGCGCTTGAAGGAGAAGTCCTTCTTCACGAGGAAGAAGGTCGTGTGTCCGTAGCCGGTCTGGAAGAGGTACGCAGCGACGAGCAGGCGAACGAAAATGTAGATGCCCGTCGAGCGCGCGGCGGCCGTCCAGTGGTAGACGAGAATGACGAATTGCATCCAGCCCTTCCACTCGTCCGTCTGGTCGCGCGAAAGAAACGGCTGGTCGGCCTCGACGAGCTGCCCGGGCTTGGCACGGGGCGGCTTGGACTTGCGAATGGTGACAATGGCAACGGCAAGGCACGGCGCGCACATGATGGCAAAGTTGGCATAGTGCCACACCTTGGCTCCCTTGCCGAGAATGTGCGTGCGGTCGGCGAAAAAGCACATGAGCAGGGCCATGACGAAGGAGCCCGTCTCCATGTTGAAGGCGGCGTAACGAGGGGTGCTGCGGCGGGCGATGAGGTCCCACGTCTCGGCCAGAATGCAGACGACAAGGTACACCATGCCGAAGCCCACGAGCACAAGCTGCGTCAGGGGCTTGCTGCCGCCGTAGTCGGAGCAGCAGGTGCGCTGGTAGGGGTAGCCCTTGACGCGGTCGAGGCGCGCGTTGCAACGGAGGTTCAGCAGAATGTTGGCCTTGATCTCGGCCACGCTCTCAATGACGTGGAATCCAGTCTGCGTGGGATCGACAAAGGCGGCCTTGTCGTGCTCGACGAGGCCCGGGATGGACCAGACGAACTGCAAGTTCCACTTGTCAGCCGTCTCGCGCAGCCACTTCTGCATGGCCGTGACCCTCGTGGCGGCCTTGGCCTTGCCCTCCTTGTGGTCCTTGCCTGTGTAGTAGGGGCCGGCAGGAGGCGCGAAGAAGACCTGGTTGCCGATGCCGTCGATGGGATCCATGGGGGCCTTCCAGAAGTCCTTGCGGCTGCCCAGAATATCGGAGACATTGGAGATGGCAGCCTCGTATTTGACCGTGTTGGGAGCTTCGCCCTCCTTGTCATCGCCGGAGAACCAGGCGCCCACGCCGAGCATGGCAAAGGCAGGGCCCTTCTGGCCCTTGATAGACGCAGGCTTCTTCTCAAGCTCGTCCCGCATCAAGTTGAGCTGCTCGACAAAGTGCTCGATATCGTGCTCGCCCTTGATGTGGCCGTCCTTGTCCTTGCCCTGGCTAGCAGCGAAGGGAGGACCGTCGACCTCGAGAAAGGGGACCCAGTGCTGCTGAATGTCGACGCCGTGGTAGGTCAAATTGAAGGAGGAATGGAAGTCGACGTGGGTGCGGTCATATTCGGCCTCGTCCCGCTCGAGCTGTTCGAGTCCATCATGTCAGCCCAAAGAAAGAGTCAAGAAGAAAAGGCAGAGGCCATCAGAAAAGACGTACCAGGCGCGCAATGCCATAGGCAATCTGCCTCGTTGTCGAGTCGCCGGCGAATATGACATGCCTACCATCCATGCACTGCCTAATGTCGGCCGAAGTGTACTTGTGCAGGAGACATCCCTCGGGCTGCCACGTCTTGAAGGGCAGCCTGTCGCCCTTTTCGTTCTTGGGGTCGATCCAGTTGCCGGTCTCTTGGAGTGCACGGCACCGGTAGGGGTCGTCGTCTGGCGTGAGGGTGTGCCAGGTGGCAGCGGCGAGCAGCAAGGCGCCCAGGAAAACGAGGAGGACCCTCGAGATGATGTTCAGCATCTTGGCGGTTGGTGGTCGGGGGGGGCGCAGGCGCGATCGAGTCGCACAAGATGAAAGGGCCAAGCGTGCCGAGCAACTTGGGGTCAGATCGATGTGTCCGTCGCAACAGAGGCACCGATGATGCTGCAGGTCGTTGGGAGCCTGACTGGTCGAAAAGAGTGGCGGGAGGGCTCGGCGCGTGTCTCCAATTAGCAAAGACAGTTGAAAGGCAGCGGTCGTTACCCCGCGATGAAGTGGATGAAGAATTCCAGAGGAGCAAAAAGATGACGCTGCAGAACGAGGGACGAAGGGCAAAAGGCGATGAACAATAGGAGCGAGAACAATCCACTCCGCTTCGAAGGAATGGAGGCAGACACTCCCCTGAATAGATCATTTCCATTTCGAACATCTGAAGAGGCGATGCAGCGCGATAAGGATGCCGCACGGACCAGCTGATGCCACGTGATGTAGATTCGGGGGGGGAAAGGGCCGCTGCCAGGCAAAAGACAATTCGTCAGACACAGACTGACACAGCACAGCACGCTAGTCCCCGCCTTTCGTCTCCCATCGTCGAATGTCAATTGGTCTCTCGTCTCTCGGGCTTTTCTTGGTACATGTACACAGCTCTCCTCCCCAACCATTCCTCCTTACTACCAACTATACCCATTGATTGACTCGCACCAACCCTCATCATGGCCGACCTCAACCTCCAAGAAATCCACGATGCTCTCGTCGCCATCGCTTACGAGGCTGGCAAGATGATCCTGGCCGCCAACCCCTCCGACATCGACCAGGGCACAAAACTCAACTGTACGCCCTGCTGCCCCTCCTCGACCCCGCCGACGACGACGTGCCCCCGCTAACAGCTCCGACCCCCTTTGGAGCCGTCGATATCGTCACCGAGGCCGATCAGGCCGTCGAGAAGATGGTCTCCACCCGCCTCCGCGAGGCCTACCCCTCCGTGGCCTTTATGGGCGAGGAGACGTACAAGCCCGGCACCCGCGTCGGCCCCGAGCCCACCTTCATCGTGGACCCCATCGACGGCACCACCAACTTTGTCCACTCGTTCCCCGCCGCCTGCATCTCCCTCGGACTCGCCGTCGATCGCGTGCCGGAGATTGGCGTCATCTACAACCCCTTTCTCGACCAGCTCTTCACGGCCATCCGCGGCCACGGCGCCTTCCTCCGCCGCCGCGGGCCCGACAGCCAGCCGCAGCGCCTGCCCCTCTCGCGCAACCCCCAGCCCCTGACCGGTCTCGGCAGCGCCCTCGTCGCCGTCGAGTGGGGCTCTACGCGCGACGGGCCCAACTTTGAGGCCAAGGTCGCCACCTTCCGCAACCTGGCCGCGAGCCGCGACGACGGCGGCGCCATGGCCCACTCGCTGCGCAGCGTCGGCAGCGCCGCCCTGCAGCTGGCCCACGTCGCCGCCGGCCAGACCGACGTCTACTGGGAGGGCGGCTGCTGGGCCTGGGACGTGTGCGCCGGCTGGTGCCTCCTGACCGAGGCCGGCGGCATCATGGCCAGCGGCAACCCGGGCAACTGGGAGCCCGAGCTCGATGGCAGGCTGTATCTGGCCGTGCGGGGTGCGCCGAGCGGACAGAGGGAGCTTGTCGAGGAGTTCTGGGCCGCCATGGGCGACCACCGCATGGACTACTCTGTCTGAAACTCGTCGCCTTGGGTCCCGGACGCTGTTGAGGGTCTGACGTGCAGGAGATGGTGCAGCTCGGATGCGACGTGTTGACGAGCCGGTGCAGCTCGTGGGAGTTCCATTGGCTCGGTGTGGATGGTCACCCTAAATATCGACGTATAGAAATGAAGTTGCGAGGATGGGAAAAGATTGAGAGCAGTCGTCGCAGATATGGTCTCTTGGTTGCGTAGCAGCTGATAATCACATGCCTACGGGACCGTCGTTGGTCGTACACGCCGAGCACGCTATAGGCACCGAACCACAGACATGGCAAGGTGGGGAGGTTCAGGTGTGCTGGCAATTCCGACTCCGATAGATCCTATTCGGTCACGATGGCGCTATTGCCATCCCGTGTCGTGCACTCGGCTGCTGACAAGGCCATGACAGGAACAGAACCACCTATGAACTGGTGTTGGATGCCCCCGGGGCCCTGCACCGATTTTTTTGTGCAAAAGTGTTGCAACTTTCCATGGTCGTAAAGTAGAAAGAAGAGGAATACGCTGTTGACATGTCTCAGACGTAGTATGTCCACGTAATCAGGTCTGACGTTGGAATAACAATTCTGGTCCGTGGTTGTAGCCGCATTGTTTGCTCTTTTAAACCGGGGGCCACGACGAGGACCTTCCCAGATGAGACATCGTCGGACCCCGATGGTCCCGCAAAGCTTAAGCAGAGTCGCCTGGGTACCGCCACTTGTGGTTGGATCAGTGATCTGAAGTCGTGATGTCGTGATTTGGAGACGCGCCCAAGGCCCCAAACAGAACCCAATAGAAACCCAAAAGTGCCCCCACCCACTCCCACTTATGGGGGGGCCACGCGCACGGAAACTAGCGCAAGTCACAGTCTGAACCCTGCAACTCGGCCCAGGGGCCTGGTGGCGGTTGCGCATGAGGAATGCGGGGCTCTGGCACTGGATTGAACGACAGTCGAAGACGGAGGGTGGCATGTCAACGACAAGTCGTGAGAGAAGGCGGCGATGGCAGGCTCGAAAGGCGGTTGAGGGCTTCGTTCCATGTCCCACCAAGGATGGGAGGTAGGATGTGTCACGGCAGGGCAGGAGGAGTGGTGGACCAGAGCTGCCCGTCACATGTTGGCTCTTCGGGCCGTGTGACGGGCGAAATCGGCTGAGGGCGGATAGGGGGTAAACAGCGTTATGCACCAATGCGAGGCAATACCCTTGTTCTCCCCCTCCCCCGCCACAGGGAAAAGAGGAGAAGGAGACGGTGGTGTTGCATGTCAGGCAGTGCATTGCAGGACAAGCGCCTCCGGCTAGCTTGTGCGCTCCGTCTCGCCGTCGAGTCAGTCCGGGTTACTTACAAGTACTCTTGATGGCGCTGCGAGAAGTGTTGCTTCTTCAGTTGGTTGACAGATAAGACTGTCACACGGCCCTGCGCATGCACATGCAGGGCCAAAGTCCTTCATCGGTGGTATACATGTACGTACGTAGAATGCCGAAGGTTTAAGGTAATGCAGGCGATAGATAAGATGTGCACAATTACCTTCTTCCCAGCCGCACATGGAAGGAAGTCGTGTCGGCAATCACACGAAGGCCGGCGAATGTTGTGGAAGATTCCGTCGGGTCGTAGCAGACGGAAGTGACGGCGGTGCAATGACGCCCGACGTCGGCAGCGGGTCACATCCTGTTTGATTGTATCGAGGTCGAGCCAAGACATCGTGGATCATGTTACTGTTGGTGATGGCCAGTGCTTCAGCAGGCGACGAGTCTGACCAGGGTCGAGGCTCTGATTTCCCACCTTTCACCCGATCCAGGCGAAATCTGTCATGGGGATATTTTGTTTCACACCGAGACGACCGTTCGTTCACCGCAACATACTGACGGACCACACCGCCTTGCATATTGTGCATTGCCTGTTCACGCTGAGCCTGTCGGGGGCGCTGGAGACAGATGACACGACTGCATGATGGGCCGACAGTTGCGCGTATGGCGGTGCGAGAGAGTCGCCGTGCAGTGTATGCCAGTCAGATTACCAGACTTTCTTCCGCGGACCGCCACCGCATCGTACAAGGATGCCCGGTGGACGAGGGGGGCCAGGCCGGCGGGAGAAATTTGGGTAGAAAAACAATCCGGGTTGGTTCGCTGGCTCGTCTGCGTGGAGACTCGGATATAAGAATGCGACCAAGGGTCGTGCTCGTGGTTGACTCCACCATCGAATTTGCGGCAACTCAACGCGGCGAATCATGGAGCTAAGGCGCTCGGACGATCCGACATTGCTGCTCCTTGTGGAGAAAAGCATCAAGGTCTAGACTAGACCACGGTCCGCCTGCATTGCCAGCCTGGGTCATTGGCTGGCCTGCTCATGTTGTGAGACGACCTGTTTACTGTTGTTGTCTTCATTTGTTGGTCCGTTTGGGGTGTTGATGTAGGTCGACGGCATTTCACCGGGCGTCGCCATCCTTCAAGATCTGCTTGTGCTCTCGATGATCAGAGGCAGAAAAGAAGCAAAATTAGTCTTGTGTGCAATAGCAGGCGGCGGCGGCGGCGAGAGATCAGCAGAGGCGACACTCAATGGCGGATGGTCAGGCGGTGTGCCGTGTCATGTTGCTCTCGAGGATGTCCGGTATCCGTCCGTGTCCAAGGCCACCAGACCTCGTGCCGTCTCTCTCGTTCTCGCCCTCGTGCCCCTCGTCTGAGACCCAGATTCCTCGATTACCCGTTCCGCCGTGTTATGCCTGCCTGCCGGCTGGTGCATGGGTGAGGAGGACAACTCAGTTGACGGCCCCTCCGCAGTCGGCATTAGTGCATCTGGCGGGGTTGAACGAGATGAGGCCGAGGCAAGTACCCTGCTCTGGTGGTGTTTGTTCATGCTGGCGTCATCCCAGTCAAGGCGTTACATCTACATATGTGATAAGGAACGCCAAGTCGTCTCGTTCGACGGCGACGACGAGGCCAGACATTGCGCACCACAGGGTGGGACAGAAGCGTTAGGTGGGCCCTTTCTTGCTTAGGTACCTACCTACTTAGGTAGGTAAAAGCAGGTAGGTAGACGATGACAGAAAACGGTCGAATCCAGTGTCGACCTGTCTGTCGATCCGGTACTGGGCAAGCGAGACCAAGACAGACCGTTTTAAGCCTGCGTACATGCTGGCATGTGCGTGTTCCAGCATTGATGGTGTGAAGGTGAGGGGGGGGGATCACTGAAGAGAGAAAAAAAACGATACCAATGCGAGAGCGAAGAGGCGGCTGGCTGTCTCACCTCACACCCACTCGCTCATGGGCCACCTCGATGCAAGCATACATAATGTACGCTAGAGCTGGCGCCACATGCTTCTTGGCCCGTGCGCCTGAATGACCCTGGTCTCCATCTGCATCTGCTCCGCTTGTCGGTTGTGGTGGCTGCCTGTACGTGGTAATGGCTGAATGACCTGCTTGCTTTCTGTTTTCTGCCCACTGTCTGTGCCTGGCAAGTCGGATCCCTGCGTTCGTCGGATGGCACT